TTTTCTAATTTCAATGATTTTCAATATCTACTATTTTAATAAAATTTCCCAAGAAGAATTAAATTATTTGAAAACAGTTTTAATAAAATTGTATGCAAACATTTAATTATTTTCATAAATAATAAAAATGTCCCAGGAATTCAAATTTTTTTCATAAATAATAAAATTTTTTTTAAGAAAAAAATGAAATTAATCAATTATTTAACAAATTTTTATACAATACTTCACAATATTTCAATTGCTTTCACTAATAATTTAACAATTTCTATGAAAATTTAATTTTCTAAAGAAAATTTTTGATAAAATTCTAAGCAAGAATTCAATTATTTTCATAAATAATAAAACTCATTGAAGAATTTCAATTATTTTTAATTGTATTTTAAATTAGTTAATCGAAAAATTTAAATATTTTCACAAATAAAGTTTTTCACAAAAATTCAATTATTTAAAATAAAATTTTCATAATATTTATAATATTTCGAAAAAATTAATTATTTAAAACAATGTTTATAAAATTCTTTTATTTTCAAAAATTTTAATAAAATTGTTCGAAAGAATTCAATTATTAAAAGATAAATAACAAAATTATTCCCGAAAAATCAATTATTTTGAGGGATTTTAATAAAATTCTTTGCAAAAATTCAATTATTTTCAAAAATTAACAATATTCATCACAATAATTCAATTATTTTCACAAATTTTAATGAAATTTTTCGCAGACATTCAATTAATTTTGAAAATTTTAGTAAAATCATTCGCAAGAATTCAATTATTTTCATAAATAATAAAATGCATTTTAGAGAGAAAATTTCCTATTTTTGTAATTTTTAAAAATTCTTTTCCAGAATTAAATTCTTCAAGAAATTTTAATTACCATTTTCTAAAAACCTCATTTTTTTCAGAATTTCTAAATGAAATATTTTAAATTACATTAATTTGAAATTAATAAATATTTAGAAACTTGTTATTTATTTGCCTACCAGGAATTAAAATTTCAAAATAATTACAATTTAAAAATCTTTTAAAATTCAATTATTTCTAAAAATTAGAATTGCAATTCTTCCAGTTCTTTAAATATTTTCTAAAATTTTAACTGATATTCTGTTTTAAAAACAATTCTTAGTAAAATTCAACGATAATTACATTATTTAATTAGAAAAATGTTTAGAAAATTTAATTATAATAGAAATTTTTAGTTACAATTCTTCAAAAAATGCAGAATTATTTAAAAATAATTTCTTAAAGTGAGAAAATAAAATTCTGAAAAATATAAACTTGATTTTAATGAAATTTGAGGGAAATTTACTATTATTCGAATTTTTGAAAATTATTTTCATCAATTCAAGTATTTTCAAACAATTTTAATTACGGTTTTTTAAAAACCTCACTTTTTCAGAATTTCTAAATAAAATTTTTCATTAATTTTTGTTTAATAAATATTTCAATACTTATTGTTATTTATTTGTTCACCAGGAATTAAAATTTAAAAATACTTACAATGTAAAATCTTTTGAATTTTTTTAGAATTAAAACTACAATTGTTCTAATTCTTTAAATAGTTTATAAAATTTGAACTAAAATTATTTTCTAAATCACTTTTTATCAAAAAATTGTATGAAAATCCAATTATTTAAATACAAAAATAAGTAATAACATAATTCATTATTTCTTATAATTGCAACTATAATTCTACTAATGTATTTTTTTTAATTTGAGAAAGAAAATTCATGTACTATTCAAGATTTTTAATAATTTGATATTTTTTTAATAATTTGAATAAAATTTGCTTACTTTACAATATTTCCCTTTCATGTGAAAATCCTGTTATTGTCAAAATTCTAGGGGAATTAATTCCACTAAATTAATTATTCCATTATTAATTATTAATTGAAATTAATTATACTGTTTACAAATTAATTGTTAAACTCTGTCAAACTCTTTCGACATGACAAATTGAGCTGTATTATCAATGTGAAAGCATAAACAAAAAGCCCTAACTTCACGCGAGGACAAAAAATATCTCGATTTCTATTCAAATTAATCAATATTTATTATTTTGCTTCGTTTCATTTATTTTTAATTTTTATTGAAAAAAATATACAACAAAATTTATAATAATGAAAAAAAAATTCATTTCAATAAGAAACCTAAGAAAGAAATAAGATTATAAATGAGTAAAAATGCAATAAAAAATCAAAAGGAGTATCATGAAATAATAAAATTAAAAGAGACTATATTTACATATATATACAAATTTATATTTTGTATATAAATAAAATATAAAGGAGAATAAATATATATATATTTGTCTGTTAGAATAAAAATATTTTTTTGTGTAAAATTAATGCAATTTTTAAGCGGATATTGTATACAGAAGTTTGGAAAGCAGGATGAATCTATTTATAATATCATACCGATCCTCGTCAAAGTAATTTTGTGTACGAGTACTGTATAACCCTTTTGACTTTTGGACGGATGGATTAAATATTCGAGTTCAAGCTCTAAAATGCAAATTCTCATAAACCTCCAAGGTCCATATTAACATAAGGTAACGTTACTCTCTTGAAACACTGATTTCGGTAGATATTTCTTGTTAAAGACCAAATCTCTTTTAATTACCGGCTTTAAATTAAAAGTTGAAAAAACAATTTTAAAATACTATATTTTCACCACACAAAAAAAGGATGCGTTTTTATTATTAACTTTGCTGACAATAAAGTTTTCAACTGTTTAACGTTTTTAATTAAACCTGCAAAGGGAGAAGGCAAGAGAGAGAGAGAGAGAGAGAGAGATAGTGATAGAGATAAAGGTCACTTTTGTAAAATGTGCTTTTTATAATACACAAATTGTAATTTTCAGTCCAAAAGTTAATTGAAGTTGCTTCTACATTTTATCAGCTTCACAAGCAAAAAAAATTCATTTTTTTTTTAATTTTCAAATGTCATATATAGTAATTAATTAATATCAGAAAAGTATATATTCAAACCGATAAAGTGCAAATAAATCTATCACTGAATTTATTTTATTCTTCGCATTATTCATAATATTTTCGATTATGTTACAATTGTTAAAATATTGAGCGCTATAATCAAATTTCCCTCTTTTTATAGTTTTGTTTGTTATAAAAATTTCACGATGAATAAATATTTTATTAAATACTAGAGAGAAATCAATGAAATTGAAAAGCAGAATTTGCAATAAATGTAATAAATCAGTTCTATCTGAAATTTTAATAGTGTATATATACAATATAAAATATAAATGAAAAATATATTTTATTGTCTAACATTGTTATTATTATGCAACATTGTAATGCGTTTGAAACTTTAGTGTTTTGATGCAAATAGAGAATATGAGAAATAAAAACAAAAACATGTTGAACGAAAATATATTTTTTTTTTTTTCAAAACAATTGAATTCTAAAAAAGCAATTTCTCACATACGTTAAATAATTTAGAAATTTAGAAATTTAGAAAAAAAAAATTTAGAAAAAAAATGATCCATATTAAAAAAAAAATATTAAAAAAAATATTAAATATTAAAAAAAAATGATCCATTAAACATAAAAATAATTTCCTTTTAAAACATGTCCTGTAACATTTAAAAGAATTCGTTTCATTGTAAAAAGAATCATTTATTTTATTGACAAGATGGAATAAGAATAAAATAATTCAAGAATAAAATATTTCTTTTGTTTTTCAAATGAAATCCTTTTATGACAAAAGGATTTATTTTAAGCAATAAAATACGATTGTTTGTTTAAAACAATGAAAAAAATACGTATGAAATTTATTCATAAAAAATCTCTCGATGCCACAACAAGCATAATAATAATAATATTAAGGATTATATTAATTTATAGTTATTTATTGATAATAATGAAATAATATTAATTAATTTAATTAGTAAAAATAATAAAAATATTAATTATTCCTAATATTAATAATGTTTATAATTATATTGATAATATTAACAATAATATTATCAATTTCCAGCATTATTCTCAAATTCAAATTAATGTTTCCTAAAAAATTTCTATATTTTCAAAAAATTTTGACACAGTAATTATTTTATTCTTCCATCTCTGTTCAATTTTTACAAGCTCTTCACATAACTTATGAGTCGATGTAGCAAAGACCTCTTTCAATAAAGTCTTTTATCGAATGAGTGTAATATCAAAAAATATATATTTACCCTGCGAGTAAAGATTCTGACAATATCAACACAAAATCAATGAAACTTGCTTCTATACTTTCCATTCTCGATAAAGCAGAATTGTTTCTCAATTTAAATATATTTACTGTCTGTCAATATAAATTTAATTTAAGTTTTGCTCAAAAAAAAAATTTAATACAAAATGTCTTCCACCATGAAAAATAATCATTAATTTGCAAAATTAAACTAAAATACAAAGTTTACAAATTTTTAAGTAATATTTATTTTTTACTTTATTTATAACAAAAATAATTTAAAAAATAATAATAAATATAACAGTCAAACCTGTCGGAAAATTATTTGTAGTCAAAAAAGTCAAACAAGAATTATTTTCACTTAGTTTCAAAATATTGTAAAAATATTACAAAATTAAATTATAAAACAATTTTTTCAGGATTATTTACTCTAATAAAATTTAAAAAATCGAGTTGCATTCCGACAGGTTTCACTGTAATATTAAAATTAATAATAATAAAAATAGGATTAATGATAATAAGTTTTTATTTTTAAAATAATTATTATGACAATATTATTAATATAATATAATTAATATAATTATTATGATAATAAATAATTATTATTGATAATTATATTAGTAATAATTATTAGTAGTAGTATTAGTAGCAGTAGTGTGGTACAAGTAGGAGTTATTATTAGTACTACTTTATAATTAGTTCTCTGATACGTTAAAATTTTAATTTCTAAATCATTTTTATTTAATTAATGAAATTAATGAATTTTTCTTTTTGTCGTAAAGGAAGAAAACGAGAAAAAATACAGAATTGTGCATTGAATATAATTCATTTATTTATCGAAACTATCGATAAAAAAATTACAAAAACAATATAGTTTGGAATTTCTTTGTTATGAAAAATTGTTTAAAAATATTGGAAAATTAACATTTTATATTGCCTTTGCTGTTCCAATAACATCATATCGCACTGATCTCTCAAATGTTTCCCAATATTCAACGTAAATACTCATTAGTATTGTACCTGTAAGATCTTGCTTAGATTTTATTTTGAAAGAGAATTTGTCCTTTAATTGCATATCCTTATCCTACATTGAATATAATTATTTTATTATATATTTATTATATTTTATTCATATTTTTTTCATATTTTTTTCAATGTATTTTTAAATTTTGTTATTAATATTATTTTAAATATTTAAAAATTTTTTTAACTTTCTTTATTAATATATATTTTTACCTTTTTGAAAGGACATTTGCCACCTGTAAATCCATTGTAAAATACTTGTCTGTCAAGTTCTTTGAAAAAGTCCATTTTTTCATTTCTACAGATGTAGACTCCAGTATATTTATATCCACCTTTGTATGCCAAATCTATGTCAATCTTAAAAATAAAAAATTATGCTATTCTTCAATTCACATTTTTCGATTATACTTAAATTACATAAATTAAAAGTATTATTAACATAAAATTATTATTTTAAAATTATATAAAAATTTTATGAAAATTATAAAAAAAATTATATTAAAATTATATAAAAATTATATTAAAATTTAATAATAATTCTAAATAAAAAATATTTTTCACTTACTCCATCTTTACTTGTGCTATTTATTGGATATTTAAATGAATACTTGTCTATACCTTTTTTCAAATCTTGTTTAAGTATACCCTTCTCGGGTCTTAAATTCGCAACCAAATATTTATGTAATTGCAATTCATATGTCTTGTCAGCCTTGAATAAATTTAAAAGAAAGATAAATTTTTAATAATACGATAAATATTTATTTACTGTATAAATATATTTATCGCATCAAAGATATTTATTTTATTATAAATAAATATTAATCAATAAATCTAATTAAGTAGTCAATTATTAATTATTTAATCAATAAACTAATTTATAAAAATAATAAAATAAATAAAAATTATTATAAACTTCAATAAAAATGATCTATTAATTAAAATTATAAATTTGGTTTAATAAAGAATTACCTCAACATAGCTGACAATAAAAAATGAAGAGACAACAAAAATTACACTCTTTAGTGAAAGAAACATTTTTGAAATGAAGTTTTTTCAAATAATATTTCTTTGGAAATTTTTTTGCATATTATAATATTAAGTACATGATATATAAAGCCTGTTCTGTTTCATGTTATCAATAATTTTCGAGTTCGTTATTAGAACAGGTTCTAAATATAATTATTATATCCAGTTTTTAGAAAAAAATTAACTATCTATTTTATCTTATCAATTTATGCAAGAAAATACATTTATAAATTTATCAACCTATAGTCCATGTGAAAAACATTGTATTTTTTACTTTTAATTGTTCCTGCTTTTATATTTTGACCTTGAATTTTTAAAATTTTATTTTAAAATTCCGCAATATATATGAAAGAAAATATATTTCCTTAAAAGTTGAAAATTAAAAAAATATCAACTAAGTTGAGAATTAAAAAATTATCAATCATCTTGAGAATTAAAAAATTATCAATTAAGTTGAAAATAATATTTAAAATCAGCATATTTTTAATTTTTTTTTATGAAATTAATATTTACGGCTTATTATAAGCTGTGCTACTTGAAAAGAAAGAACATCAGTGTCACTGTCTGGTTCGACAATCTGGCGCCTTAAATGTTTCTAAAGTGGAGAAAGATGCAAGAAACAAAATCGACAAGAATCAACAGAAAAAAAAAATCTTTAAGATAGTATACAATTGCGTTGTTGATACAAAATTAAAATTATTAAACATTAAAAACTATTAAGTGTTATTATTATTATTATTATTATTAATATATATATATACTACAATTCAATAATCCAAAAAACATTTACATCTATTAAAATAATTATTATTAATATTATTATTTTAGACAAAAAGAAAAATGTTATTACTTTTTAAATATTTATTCTAAATTTAATAATTCAGAAATATCCGAAAATAAATCTACAAAGAAATGCATTTCTCCTGCTATATTTCACTTCTCAAGTTTATTTAACATAAATCTAATATTTCCTGTCGCGTGAAAAAAAGGTTTTTCTCGCCTTTTTTCCAGATTTTATTTTTCATGAAATATGAATAAATATTTCATTTTCCGCAAAATAGAGCAAAAATACTTTTTTTTCTCTTCTTTTTAATGGATTTTTTTAAATGGATTTCGAAAATGAAAATAAATAATTAAACTTTTTATGATTAAAGAAATATTAAAATAGTAACAAATACTTTATTATAGTGAAGAAAATTTTGTTATATAAACACCAGTGGTGTCAAAATGTTCATACAATGTGTCTCATTAATATGTATAACAAAAGTTAATGTCAGATTCACTGAACTGAATGCAAAATTTTCCCCAAAACAACTCACTGCAATAAAAAAAAAAAAAAATTTGTATGTTCACAAACTTTGAAAAACGGGAAAATTTAAATTTAAATTTCTTCAACAATTTTTTTTGTTATAATTTTGGAAACATTTATTTGATACAAATAAACTATTATGAAACAAGTAAAAAAAACTTTACCTAAAACATTTAGGTAAAAATTTATTTAATTCAAATAAATATTTTTTTAATTCAAGTTAATATTCAGTTGATTCAAGTAAAAGAGAAAATTTTCTCAAACAATTTTTTCGGGAAACAAATACACTGAAGGAAAAATTTATTTGATTCAAATAAACGCAAATAAAATTGATTTGATTTAAATGAAAATAAGTTGATTGAAATTTATATTTATTTGATTCAAGTGATTATTCAGTTGATTGAAGTAAATATTTATTTGATTCAAGCAAATATTCAGTTGGTGCAAACAAAGTTTTTCCAAGGATATCAAATTGAGACAAAAAACGAATTAAAAATGTTGCGAAGCAACGTTTTGATTCGTTTTTTGTCTCAATTTGATATCCTTTGAAAAAACTGTTCAAGTAAACATTTCTTTAATTCAAGTAAATATTTATTTGATAATACACAAGTAAACGACAATTTAAATCAAATAACATTTTTTTTCCAATCTAATTAAAAATAAATTATTATTTAAATGTGGAAAAGTCAAGTAAAAATATTTTTTATTCATCCTTTATATTAAATTTCCCTTTTTGAGAATTAAATTGGATTAGTTTTATTTAGAGAAGAATAATGGATGACCGTTTTAGAAAATTAAAAAAAAAAAATTCCGTGAAAGACTTTGAGATGTCTGAAATTGAGGAAACAGAAATGAGGAAAGCAATGAAAAAAAGGCAGAATAGTAAACAGAGAATAAAACGAACGGAAGAGAATAAAAAATTGGATCACAAATTTAGAGTGAAAAAAATTATTGAATTTAAAAGAGAAATATATATATATTTATTTAAAAAAACCTATAATTTTAACTCTTCAATGAAAAAAAGCGTGAAATAAAATATTTATCTTTCATATAAAATGTAATCTTTCTGAGTGTTTTTCACTTTTACATGAATATTAAAAAAAAATGATCAAATATTTACAGAGAAATTTTATTATTTCTAGGTGAGTTTATTTTTTTCTTTTTTTTTGCAAAAAAACGTGCGAATAAAAAGAGCACAACATTGCGTATTTAAATACGCAACGCAAATTTTTTTCAACGGGAATTTTACATTTAAAACATTATTTATATCACCAATTTTTCTATGGAAAAATATTTTTTCATACAAAAATTATACAATTTATTTTTTAAAATTTATTTCTATACTTAATAAAAGACAAAATTTCTTTATTTCTTGTAATTGTTTTTGTATAATATAAGTAGTAGCGGAAATTTTCAGTCAGACAAAATAAAACTGTACTTTTTGATTAGTGGTAAAAATGATTTAGAAGAAGACTTTTAATATTAGTAAAATATTTTGCATTGGTAGTAAGAAACAGTTTCTGTAAGACAAATAAATTCTTTAAATTCCTGCATTTTATGCGTCTTTAAGTGGAAACAGTCATTTATTGTCAGACAATTTTAATTAATTTCTTTAAATATTAATGGAAACAAAATTTCCCATTGCTTTTATAATAAAACATCGCAGTAGTTATGGTATTTTATAGTCAGACATTATCAAATTTTGAGGCTATTGACAGTAGTGACAACCAGTTATGATCAGACAACAATATCTATTAAAATTCCCTCTGTCAGTGTATAATTTTTGCAAAAGTAGTAAAAAAAGATTAATAATAATAATAATAATAACAATTTTAATAATAATTATAAAATAATAATAATAATAATTAGGTAAATTAGGTTAGAAAAAAAGTAAATTATTCTACTACTATTTACTATTTCTTCTATTTTTTTATTATAATTATTATTACTATTTTTGTTATTATTATTATTATTACTATTATTATTTTTATTATTATCATTATTGTCTACTGTACTATTCACTATTACTACTATTTGATAATGTTACCATTCACTAGTATTGTTAGTATTTGCTACTACTACCAATTACTAGTATTGCTATTTGATGCTACTACTATTTACTGAGTAAAAATTCCTGAAGTGGCCCCCCTATTTTCGCAAAGTTGCAAAATTTGAAATAAGTATTTGTATTTGAAAGTACTAGTATCTGGTAATATTTTTACCAAGTATTTTAAAAATATTTAAATTATTTATATTTTTTATTGTTAATTAAAGATTTTTGAACCCTTTTAATAAAATAATTTTAACTATTTGAGTTTTTGCACAAATTGAACAAAAATTTATGGTCATATCAGTGAGTAAATGTACTTTCGAGTTACAAAATAAAAATTTTAAAAAATTAATTTTTTTTTATTTTTCAATAATTTTTTTATAAACAAATGCAATTTTAAGTGCTTTCTACACGCGATTTAAAAAAATTTTTTTTTGCTAAATGTTCTTTAGAATGTAGGTAAACAAGAACTGAAAAGAAATCTTAGTGCAAATGAAAAGCTTTTTTATAATTTGACTTTTTGTCGAGCGCTGCATACTGCGCGCAAGCAACGCCGCGCGAGAGCCAAGCACGTTTAACGGCGCCAGCCTGCACTATTCTATTTTTCTCTGTTACTATTAAGATTTCTTATATAATATAATATAATATAATATAATATAATATAATATAATATAATATAATATAATATAATATAATATAATATAATATAATTATATTATATTATATTATATTATATTATATTATATTATTTGACACTCAAAATATATGTTTTGTATTGTAACTGTAATTGATACACAAAAGTATATGTGTTTGAGTTTTCTCAGAACTGTATGCAAAATTCAAAACAAGCATATCTGAGGAAACCTAGAGATGTTTACAGTCGTCCATCAGTTATAGTTGCAATACAAGTGATAAATTTTGTGTGACGAATAGATCAAAAGTTATTATATTTTTTAAAATTTAACTTTTTCATAAATGTTAAAATGTGTCGGGCCAATTCATGTTGCAATCCCTTACAAAAATTACGTCATAAATGTGTTCGAAAAAATGTTAATCTAGTGACGGACAAGTGGAACACCAAATTCAAGGATTTAATAGGATTTTACGTGTGTAATGCTTGTAAACGAGATCTTTATAGAAGCCAAAACGTAAAAATTTTCCCCGTTGCAGCTGAAAATGAAAATCGAAAAGACAAAGTGAATGATGAAGAGTTGAGTGAAAATGATGAAAAAGAGGACGAATCTGATCCTACTTTTAAGTGTAAGGAAGTGGATAATGAAATAAAAGTTACAAAAATCAATTCTCTTTTGCGAGAATTGGGCGAACCAGAGATTAAAAAATCTCGTATATCGAATTTTTTGTCAGATGATCAGGTAAATATTTCTAATATTATAGAAAACCTTAATGATACCAAAAAGACATTGAATCAAGAGGATGAGTATATTAATGGAATTAAAACTGCGTTATTGAATGATGTTACTCGACTGGGAAAAATACAAATTTTAACCACAATTCCGCCTCATTGGACCATTAGTAAAATGTGTAAAGAGCTGCAAGTTTCTCGTCGAATGGCACGTCAGGCTAAGAAGTTAAGGAACAATATTGGATATGGTGCTAAACCCGAAAAAAAACGTGGTAAAATAATTCCATATTCAACTGTTGAAAAAGTTCATGCGTTTTATTCGTCTGATGAGAATTGTCGTATCATGCCAGGGATTAAAG